CCAGATTTTATTTTCACTGGGACGAGGAAGATCCTCACTTTATCAAACTGATTGTTCAGATCTTCCATTGGTCAATTTCACTATGCTGCCCTCCGGAAAGACACTGCCTGTCCGACTTTTGTTTCGACTAAAGCATTAACACAAAATAGTTTCATTCTTGCCGATCAACGAGGCGTATAGCTATCGACGACATCCTCAAGCGTGGAAGAAACCCCGGAAAGGACTGCAAACATGGGCTACCCTAGTTATGATACCTCGCCCCTGATCGCCCTAGCGGTTCAAACGGATTGTCATGGTGCCGGCTCATGTACTGTTTTGCTTGTCGCGCTCTCTCTTCGTACGTTTCCTCGTCTCGAAACAAGGCGTCTCTTTCTAGAGAAGACCGACGGAATCGAGTTTCCAGTCGTCGCCTCCGTGTGTCGGCAGCCAGCTCCTCCTCGCCCACACGTCGATCTTCAAATCTCACTTCATCACGGATCGTCATTTTCCTCACATTATCCAAATCATCTTCGTGTCTTGCACGAACAACCTCTTCCGAATCAACAATGCGGAAGCTGGGCCGCCTGTGGATGACACGGGGCGGGAGCACAACTGTTCGACGGCGGCCGAGTCTGTTCAATAGCTCAATGTCTTCCAGGTCGCTGTTATAGGCCGTATCTGCTAGCCGCCGGGGCCGAAATGCTTCATGCTCGAAGCGGTCGACTCCGCCAGGCATTATCAGTGGTGGGGGTGGAGGTGAACTAGGCATACGACCGCGAGGAACATCGTAATCAAAGAGGCGATAGTCCTGTTTCGTATGGTATCGACGGTGGCTACGGCTACGGCTACGGCTTCGACTGCGACCGCGACTTGGATGACGGCCGCGGCGGTGATTATGCCTGCCGGAATCGGAGGACCCAGTGACGGATGTACTCGGCGTCCGGTCCGACTCGCTCCAACTATCGTCTGAACGCGAGCTTCTAGAGCTTCCTGAGCTTCTAGAAGGGATGTCATAGACCTTGGTTTTGCCCTTCTCTGTCTTGATGACTTTGACGTCGGCTTTCTCTTTGCCAGGCTTCGTCAACGGGAACGGAGGGCGAGGCGGTACAACCACTGGTTGCGGGTGAAGTCGCTGAAATTCTTCGTGTTGCTGTCGCATCGCCAACTCATGGCCTTGCTGCCGTGCCAATAACTGATGATCAAGATGGTACTGCCGCTGTTGCTCACGCAGGCGTTGTTGATATTCAATCTCCCGTTCTCTCTCCTTGAGAATGGCCTTTGCATCCTCGCCGAAGCGCGGCTCTCGTTTGAAATACACCGTCATCGAGATCGTCTCCAGGAGGTTCTTCTTCGACTTCCTTTCTTTAACCTTGGTTACCACGACCTTCTTAGCCTCTTTCCCAGCCATGTACTGGCGGTACTCGATAGAGTCCTTGCTAAGCTTCCTGATCTTGGTGCTGATCTGCTGCAGAGTGTAATAGAACCGTCTGTCAAGGTTATGTGCGTCGAGATTGTTTTGCGCCTTTTCGATCTGACGCTGCTGCGTCCCTGTGAGGTCGAGCTTCTTCTGCATTGCTGTCTTGCCCTCGGCATCAAGTTGACGGATGGTTCGAGTTATGGCCGGCTTGGGGAGGTCCTGGACCTCTGTGCGGATGACATTCTCCCAGGTCGATTTGACGGGGTTTCCTTCGTCGTCAATCTCGTTCGGGTCATGAACCTTTTCGAACCGGTATACGACATACTCGGACAAGGCTTCGCGTGCATCGGCATCGGTCATGCGTTCGTTGCGAAGATCTGATCGCTCAACAAGACGCTTACGCCGTAGCTCAGGTGGAATCACATCGTTGGGAGGCTGAACCGGCATGGGCCGAGGCATCATCATTGGGGCTACCATCGGGGCTGCTGGACGTTGAACGACATGATGAGCCGGCGGTCCGTGGACGGGAGGCTTGGGGACCGGTGGTGGAGGCGGTGGATGCGGTCCGCCTTTCGCCCCTTGAGGGTGTTTCGGCGGGCCGGAAGTGAGTTTGATAACACCGGGTGGAAGGGGAGCCATGATGGTGACGAGAATTGTAAGGATGCTAGGACTCGGAGGCTATCCTCGAGGGGGGTTGGAAACAGGTAAGGCACGTCTTATATGATGATTCCGTAACCGACGTCTCATGAAACTAACATTCAATGAAGTAGGAGGGAGATACTTATGCAGAGTGGAATGTCGTACCAGAAGAAGTCGAGAGGGTTGTGGCTGTCTCGACTCGGAGACTGTGCTAGACAAAGTGAGGCGAGCGCAGTCCTTTGTGGAAGGGTGTATGAGACAAAATGAGCGACGGGAGGGTGTGTTGGTACTTATGCTGTTGGTCTGTCTTGATCTGTGTTCCTGACTGTAGGATGCAGGTCTGGGCTCGGCGACAAGAACGGAATGGCCACCATCAACAACTTTGGCCGCAGCAGCACGTATCTCAACTGCTTTCTTTCCGATGATACGAGCCTTGTCCTTGGAGTGTCCAGTTCAGCTATCCGGCCTCTTTCGTCTGTTGAGGGGAAGAAAGAAGATGGGAGAGAAGGGTGGGAAATAGTGGCCTTGAGAAGAGGGGGCGGGCGTTGCGAGCTTTCAGGAAGCCAGGAAGCTGACTTTCACCGCCAGGAATATGCAACTGTCTACCATACGCGCAACCTATCACTCAACCCAGCAAGCCACCTACTCATAAAATACTTCGTCGCTCTCGAGGCATCCATTTGCACCATCCCTGTCGCTTCGGTGAAGTGGTGGGCACCGCCCAGTCGAGCGCCACGTTCCTCGCCTTTGGATTGGCAGCCTGGTCATCAAACGGCAATTACTTCAACTGCGATACTTGAGACGCCTGTCTCCCTCGCCTGAGCCAGAGAGTTTGACCTGGTCGATGGATGAACTCGACAAAACGAAACAAAGTCTGAAATGCTACTCGGAGTCCAACGGGCCTCGGCGACTGTGCATTATACGTACCGAATATGCCTGAGTCGTCTGTATTAGAACTGCACTTGGAATCAGAAGCTGTCACCATGTCTTGGCAAACACGGGCCTCTACACTACACACCGAGAGCTGCTCGTTTACCGTCTCTGCCGGTGCTCATTACCCCGCAAGAGACTGACTTTGTCTTGCACGGGCACGGGCGGATTTGACGGGCGGGAGGGAGGGTCGACCCGGAAGGCGAATTTTGCGGACAGTGGAAATGGTCCGCGCCGCACGAAACAAGGCAACCATCCGGCTGAATATCTGTCAACCTCGATTCCTTCACCGAAGACGTGCCGCTTTTTCTTGAGGTGTGTGGAGGACGCGCATTAAAGAGTGTGTCCAGCTGTATGGCTTGATCGGCAAATCCATGCAGGCTCGCGGTCAACACTGTCCAGGGCCGGCTCAATCGGATATAGGATTCTTACACTTCTGGGTGCCATCATCGACCCCAATCAACGACCACGACTCCCCCTCAAAGACGACTCCAATTGGTGAGGGGTGCATCAAATGACTCCGATAAGGAACATCCAGCAACGACCTGCAGAAATAATGTTACACGGCAGAAGCCCTAGGTGCTTGGCCAATCAAGCTGACACGACACGAAGGAATGGGCAAGAATACAAGATTCTTGTCGGTCATAGGATGCGAATTCGAGATGCCAGCGATCGAGACATGCGTACGTCTTTATGCAGGACGTGAGAGAGACTATTCTGAGTCCGTAACAACCGAGACATTAAGGCTGTTCGTCGACGAGGGTGGTGCAGTCGGTACCGCCCTCGGCTTCGTATCAAAGATAGGATTCGAAGTGCGCCTCTCATCCAGGTTGTGGTCTGGACCGTGCGAATTCTACCTCGATCTTTGGAGCTGGCCTGTTCGGTGGTCCATCTGACACTTCGACAAGACCATTCTGAATGGAGCATCTTACGTGGCCGGTCTTCTGATACGAGTCCAATCCAAACGCCAATTTTTTCGCAGGCGCCTATTTCCTCCCATGTCCACGTCGTTCTCATGGCCTCACAACATTTTAGAGTGCTCGAATGATGTGTAGTGGCGGAGAAGAATGAGACAATAATGCCAACTGGTCTCAGTTGCCATTGCAGAGCCGCACCTTAACTGACGTGACTGACAACTGCTCTGATCGGTTTCCTGCTTCCTTTACAAGCACCATCCATGCAATAATGAAGGATCTTTACTACCTCGCGAAGCCTCTTCAACTCCTTCGATCTTCAAGAGACAGGGGAGGCCTGTCCACACCGTCTGCCAGTTAAGCTTGATGATATTCAGACGCCGCGGCTGATCAGCAGAAGCCTAGACCAAGGCTGTCTGCTGTGTCGGTACACAACATCCACGGAGCTGGCACGAACTCGCATTTCCTGACGACACAGAATTCTAAGACCTCGGCGACTTCGATGCGTGTAGTCCCAACGTTGTACTCATCGGCACTGCACGTCGAGAAGCCTGGGTCCCACAGCAACTGAAGTCGTCTTTGTGCAGGGCCTTTGCGCGACGTTGGACACGCATATTCTCACATCAGAGGTGATACAAGAAAAATCTCCTCACGTACCCTGGGATCTGTCTTCGTCGTAGCCATTGCAGAGATGCCTAATGCCACAGGGACTTCCCTGCTCACCTCATGTACAACGCGTACAATCGAGCGATCTGGCGGCTTTCCGTCAAACTGCGGGTCTTTTCTTTGTCCTTCAGAAGCCGAAAAGCTGTACTCCATGTCACAAACGAGAGGCCTGGCTCCTGGGTCTCACCGTCTACAAGGCCGCCGCCATCTGTATATATGCCCAACGGTCGAGGGAGGACAAGAGCTGTCACTCTCGCCGTCTCCATTGAATTCTCAACTGATCGTCATGTCAGTACATTCAAGAAGTTTCGGCAAAGTGGCACTATCCTCGAACGTTGAGTGTTTGGTGTAACATCTACAAAGCACCTGGCTTGAAGAGGAATCAGTCAGTATGCTGATAATCCCTGCAAGCAGAAGAGCCCTTGGCTTCTACACAACAAGACACCACCCCTCATTCACATGTACCAGCCTGCGCCCGGTTGCAACACCAAGGGTGTAGATGGGTGCAGAATTCCCAGCTTCTCCCAAAAAAAAGTTTTGCCCATTCTCAACGAGGCTAGCGAAAGTGCGGTTGCCTCGTCTCTTTTGGCTGACGCGACTGACTTGTTTTCTGCACATTGTAGAGCCCTTTGGCTGGTCATCTACGGCGTTCGGCCTTCCTTTTCCGACTCCCTCGCAATCCATCTATTGCCCACTAATTGTAGTCGGAGATGGTTGGCTCATCTGTAACACGGCGTCAAGTCGATGCCTCTTTAAAGAATTAATCAGCAAGGCAGCAGTAAGGTGATGATGTGCCCAGATACATACTCGGTATGACGCCAGACGTTGAACACGCAAAAGGCGTTGCCTCGGCGGATAGAGCCTTTTGAGACAGCGGCTCGACCCGAGGACACCATCACACATGTCTCAACTTGCGCCACTTATCCGACCGGATAAGTCCGAGGTCAAGAGATCAGTGCCTTTCCGAGAGAGTGTGTGCTTACGGCTTGGATGCCTGGCTCAGCCTGCGGTGCGAGATGCTGGCCCCTTTTCGTCCTCTGCGGGGGAACACACAGGTTGTGCCACTACTCAGCTGGCACTTTTCCAGATTCGAGATAAGGACAGCGCTTGCAGAGACAATACTAGTATACCTGAAAGGGGTGGTATTCTTCGTCTTGAATCTGTTGCCCAGTCGCATCGATGTTCTAAGGAAGAGAACTTCGTCAACATGATGACTTCCAGTCACGGTATGTCTGAAAAGAGGAATCGTTCAACGAAATAAAGCCACAAACATGAGGTAGAGGGTTTAGAATAGTATGTAGCGTAGTCGTATATCGTACACATCGCCCCAAGTCGTCAGAGGTAAGTAAGTCAGATAGGAAGATCTCCCATGCGTAACCACAACTAAATTTACAGGAATAGGATTGGGAATTTTTTACCAAATTCTAAGAGGGCTTGTTTCAATCAGCCCGGTTATGAAGGTTTTGATGAAGGGAATCAACCTAGGTAGGTCGTTGCATTGATCGTATTGAAGCTACACAACACACGATACCTCACCCCTTATTGAAGTTATCTCACTTACCAGCTATGTTGAGACACATTTCCTCGTCGTGAATATCTCAGAAACATACTCAATTGTCCATGGTGCAACAATAGAAGCCATTTGCAAACAAACTTTCCACGGCTTGTTTTTGTTTGCTTCTGCTCAATGGGCTGGAGGCACCTTCCCCCCCAATCCACTACTGCCCCCTTTTCATTTAAGACCGTGATGGTATTCACCATCAAAAATCGCACACCGCCCTTGCCTGAGTGAGTATTCAATGAGAGCTTCACATCAAAAGGACGAAAAAGTCTCTTGCCCCTCCCTCTCTTGGAAAAAATTCCTCCCACAAACAATTCAACCCCACGAAAGTCTCATCGACAATCAATAACAGACAATCTCAAACACCCTCTACACCTCACATCACAATATCCCATCCTGAATTCAATCCTTCACTCACACCGCCAAAATGAAGAGCATCACCATCATCACCTCCTTCTCGGCCATCTTGGGCGCAATCGTCACCTCTGCTGCTCCTGCTGAGCAGCCGGTCAAGGCCGACATGGCCACCATCTGCGAGGCCACTGAGGCTCCCTTTGCCAACGCTGTCTGCCGCCCCTTCACAGCCTCCGATGGCAGCGTTTTCGCTGTCTTCACTCTCAATCCTGCCAAGTCCAATGAGGGTAACTTCGACAGCGTGAAGAATGCTATCAACTCTGGAGCCACCACCTGGATTCCCAACAAGAAGACTGGTAACGAGGACTTCTGCGACAACGTCAATGGCCTTCACTCTGGCCACATCAACCCCTACATGCCCCTCGTCTCCGACTGCCTCGCCATCAAAGACTGGGCCGCCTCTAACGCTGGCCACTGGGCCGTCTCCAAGGCCGACTTGGACAAGCACCGCTGGGTCGCTCTATCTGTTGTTGGCACCTGCGCCTTTGTCGTCGGCGCCACCAAGGAGAACCGCCCCGAGGCTGCTATCAACATTGGCAACCAGGATGTCACCGAGATCATCCAGCAGGCCATTGAGAAGCACAGGATGATGGACCAGGTCGAGGTTGCTGGTCGCTCTTCTTGCATCGCCTCGGGTGGCAAGGTCGCTGCCGACTGGTACATCGCCAACCCCGACATGATCAAGTGGGACAACTGAGGAGTGAGCATGCCTTGTGAGATTTGGCTCCTGAGAATAAACATCATTACAGGGTCGATATGGATTCACAAGAAACGGGTTGCAGGAGCGGGTAGTTCGTGGCCGCATCTTGGAATTCTTTGAGGTCACATTGGAAGGAGGATACTTTTAGTCCCAATACACAGGCTTCATTACGAACACTATGACTGGACCCATGTGAATGGAATACTTACTACAATAGTCAAGTCTAGTGCCTTGAACTACAGAAGGTTGACTTAGCCTCAGGTGGACAAGATATCTCACCTTGACCCGGCTATTGTGTTACACAGCGCACAGAGAGTGAAATACTTCACATCTGGGCCTTGTATGTGAATATTGTGTTTTCAGGTTCCCTCATTCAATGATGCTCATACCTAAGGTATCATGTTTTTCTTTCCCTTTTCACCTCACGCTGCTCCTCCGTGCCTTCCCCTTCACAACTGGCGTTTCTATACACCCACAATCGCACCTTCTCCCTTTGTTTTCCCTCCTTCCTCTACTATCAAGCGAGAAAATACAAAGATTTCAAAGCACCTTGTTCACTGCCTCGAGCTTCCAGTAAAGCAATTACCATCCGAGACTACTTGCTTTTGGTCTTCTTCACCTCTACCTACCCGCCCGCCCCTCGACTGCCAAATACGACGGATACCACAGCCAGAAGCAGACAAAGTTCTACATTTTTTTTACTCCAAGAGACAGCTTCCATCTGTATCACCAATCGAGTCTCCCACATAACAACCCTCAAGATGGTTGTCATAGTTCGTCTTCTCGCTACCGCTACCGCTGTGATGGCGCTTGCCGTCGCCGCCAACCCGGTTGCCCAGGGTCCTGGAATCATCCGCGATCCTGCTTGTGGCTCTCTCTGCGCCTTTACTGAGCCGCCTTGTCCCAAGGCTATCTGCCACGAGGTCTTTCTCAGCAACGGCAAGTGCAAGGCCATCTTCACCGTTCCGAAGGTCGATAAGGCCGACTCCATCGATGCCGAGGGCGCGGTCTCCTCGGTTGTTGAAGTCAAGCAAACCAAGAAGAGTGTCGACAACATCGCCAAGGATGACATCAACACTGACGATACTCTCCTTGCCAGAGAGACCCTCATTCCCGTTCCCATCATCAATCACTTCAGCACCTCTTCCTTCTCCAAACGTCACATTTTTGAGAAAAGCGAGAAGTCCGAGAAGGTCTGTCAGGGACAAGGCGTTACCTGCTACAACCGCGACCAGAAGGCCTTGTCTAAGGACTGCATGGAGATATACAAGCATATGGCCAAGACATCCGGTACCTGGACCTTCTCTGACCTTGATCTCCGTGGCACCAAGTGGGTTGAGTTCATGCGAATCGGCACGTGTCTCATCGCCGTCGGTTCTGAATTCGCCAATGTTCAAGGTTCCCCAATCAATGGCAAGAGTTCCAAGATCGGCAACCTCGACATGTATGGCATCTTCGCTCAGAGCTTCCATCACTGCGGCAAGGACGATAGCATGGAAGTTAGAGGCAGTATCGGCTGCAAGGAGTTCCCACTCAGTTTCTGGATCGTCGCAACGGACAAGTACGACTGTTGCAAGTCCGACCCGCCTCTGAAGCACGATTAGACGTCTGGAATCACCAGCAATACCTGAAAGGTTGGAGAAGGATACAAGGGAATACTCGGGAAACTTGGGTTAGCTTTGGTTCACAATCATCAACTTTGAGAACACCGCCAAGGAACTGTGCATTTGGTAGTTGCAGTCCACTGCATAGCTATCAGTAGCCAGAGAAATAAACAATCGCGGTTCATCCGACACAACACTTGTCTGTCTCATTGTGACATGTGTTAGATGCCAGGAAGGGTTGACGTTGTTCCATGTTGAGCCTCATCCTCTCCATAAACCTTCGTGAGTCAGGCATTGTTTGACCTAGTCCTCTTATCTCGTCGGGACGGAATCCTCTTCAGAACATAGAGTTTAACTCACAAGGGACGACTCAGTAAATGTGCAAAGGGCACGCATCAGATGGCGAACATGACGGACGGTCTCCGTTGTTTCGCCGTCCTTCTTGGCGTCTTGCCACTACCGCAACAACAAAAGTGTAAAGAGAGACATGGAACGATAGAACAATCGAACGGTGCTGCATGGAAACAATAGAAGTCAGATTGATCCATGTCGTTTCCCGACGCCGTTGTCGTTCATCTCACAACGAGCTTTCTCATCTTGGCCAGACCTTCTCGTTTTCATGCCCTCGCTCTTGGATGTTGACATGGTGTTACATCAATCCACCCCGCACTGATCCAAGTTCGTAGATCATACTCGAGAATGCAACAGCAACGGCTCCGATTACGACGTTTTGCCAAAATTTCGGATGTTCGGCAATCGAATAGCACCCCAAACTTATCCTACAAGCCCCAACGACACCCACACCATCAAGTTCTGGTGGAGTGAGGGTTGCAGTGTCAAACAAGAATCTACCGGCCCGTCGGAGTAATTAGAAATCGAAGTTGCGCCAAACGCGATACCTCCACGTCGTTTGTGTTTGTGTGTATGACTGTCGCGGGCCAGGCGAATGAGCACGGCGCGCGCGAGCGCGCGAGAGCCTTGAGTTTTGAAACCTGAGCAACCTTTCCGCCAGCCTGCTCCTGGCTCGGACCAGAAGCATCGGCCCCCGCGCGATCTCATGCGCCCAGCCTAAAACTCGTAGAGTGCCCGCGTCCATCATGCTTCCCTGCTCGGGGTCTCCCTCGTCTGCCATTCCAGCCCTGCGGTCTTCCCGGTAGAGAAATCACTCTAACACGGATAGGCTGATCCCAAAGCTTCGATCGACTCTGGTGCCTGAGCTTTATTCCCAGGGCCCCGCGGTGAGGACGGAGGAGGGCCAAGTGTGTCGTTCTGAGTTGCGAGGAAGAGCAAGACTTGGGCACCTAGTCGGACCGTGCCGACTCTTCCTTTCCCGCTCGCCTTGTTGCTTGGGAGATCCTTGGCCTGCTTCTGTCCTGTTCACTCGGCGCAATGGACAGTCCGGTTGGGTTAAGTTGAGCGGATGTCCCTGGAACTCTTTTAATGTTGAAGTGACTGCCGTCACTTGTGTTGTATTTCCAGGTCAACGTTGCTCAGAAGGAAGAAGCAGACAGTTCTACAATCCATTCCTTTGGTTTTGGTTGTTGATTTTCCCCATGCTTGTATATATGGGTTCCGATATTCTTTTCGGCGAATTGTCATCTCGGTCTCGGTGTAAGACGTCATGCCTGCGGCAGTGCTCGCTCTGGTCGCCATACTAGCTGCAGCTGTTTCGTGCGTACCGTCGACCCAGGACCTCAGGACCGACATAACCATCATTCGAGACAATGACCTCCTGGGTGAGTCTCAACCAGTGTCATATATCCAGAAGCCTCTGACTGACGATGGCAACCTTCTAGACTCGAAAAGCCCAGCGGCCAATACAAGCGCCCTCTTCCTCAGGGCCCGGGTGCCTTTACGAGAGGCCAAGTCCATGTGCAAAGATCTAGGCGAACAGCTGTGGGAAGCAGATTCAAACTCCACGCAGAGGATATTAGAGATTCTCGACTATCAAGAGCCCGATGTTGACTTGTCAGCAATCTGGGTCATGCCCAAGAACGGCGATGATCCCCAAACGATCAACCTCAAAGGCGAGGTCTCCTCTGCCGACACATCCGACACGAATACCGTTCTGTGCACGCAGACGGCGCCCTACTCCAACGGCATAGCCCAGGACAGCAGTCCGAGGTGGCAGACTGTGGTGTACTCCAACAGAGAAGCAGTACTTGGCTTTCGCGATAGGAATAGCTTCCGCTTTCATGGCATGCGTTACGCTACGAGGACGAAGCGGTTTGCATACCCTAAAATGTATCGAGGCTCTGGCGGTAATGCTACCGCACTCGAATTCGGATCCCCTTGCTATCAGGGGTTCGGCGGCACAGAAGATTGCCTGTACCTGAACGTTTACACGCCGTATCTTCCCCGTAACAGACGCATCGACAGCGGTCTCCGGCCGGTCATGTTTTGGATTCACGGTGGAGCTCTGACGAGTGGCTTTGGTAGTGATCCCCTGTTTGACGGGGGTAATCTGGCATCTCGTGGCGACGTAGTCGTCGTGACCATAAACTACCGGCTTGGGTCTCTGGGATTTTTGGCCATTGACGATGGCGAGACTAATGGCAACTTTGGTCTCGCTGACCAGATTCTGGCGTTGGACTGGGTCCGACAACACATCCGAGACTTTGGCGGGGACCCAAGCAAGATCACCATATTTGGCCAATCCGCCGGAGCTGCCTCCGTCCGCGCGATGATGGCGTCTCCAAAGGCTGCCGGGAAGTTTGCGGGCGCGATTCCGCTCAGCAATCTTGGAGGCTTGGCGTACGGGACATCATACTCCAAGTACTTCTCCATCGAGGAACAGCTAGACCTCGTGGGTAACGCCATCCTCGGCACCACGAACTGTACCAACGCAACGTCGCAGCTTGACTGTCTTAGAGACGCGCCACTTGGAAGTCTCGGACCAGGAGCGCGGTATCTCGTCAACGATGGTGTCTACCTGACGACAGATGAGTTGCCTCTCAGGGGAGACTCTCTTAACGTCAACGTCATGATGGGCATCACATCTGAGGACGGCTTGCCGTTTCTGATTTTACCGCGGAATGGAACAGTCCTCAACGATACCCAGTGGCTCACATCTCAGGGCCTCCCAGCTCCGCCACAGCGTCTTTTCCCTGCGACAGATGTCAGAAACCAGACGCGGGCGGCGTTCGGGGTGGGAGCCAGGCTCGCCACGGACGCAATGTTCCGCTGCGTAGATCAAGCTACGGTGTACGCAGGCTTGGAGAACGGCGTCCTCGGGTCCAAGGTGTACTACTATGAGTTTGAGCGGACGTACCAGACGCCCGAGTGGCCGAGACTCGACATCTGCGAGGCACCCAAGTCAAAGGCTCACCCGAATGGAGATCCCGAGTCGCCCGCCGACAACCTACGATGCCACTCGGGCGAGTTACTTCCGCTGTTTGGCAATCTCGTGCGTCAGGGAAACCCGCTCCGAGACGAGAATGATCTGCCCTGGATGCAATATCTCGTCGACACATTCACCTCGTTTGCAAGAACTTATGATCCTAATCCGGATAAGGCTTTCCTCAGGGCTAGAGGATTCGACAGCACGTTGAGGGCATTAGAAAAATCCGGGCCCTGGGAGCCGTCTGTGAAAGGTGACATGAAGATGAGGGCTATCGATTGGCCTGTAAAAGACAACATGATGAAAGGGTTCAAGGATGTCGAGCAGTGTGAGTGGCTGAAACTGTCGCTCGATTTTTACATTTGAGTAAATAATCTACAATGGCCGAAGGAGAAAGATGCACATACAAGCATTCAGGACCTACATAATTAGACATTTAGTACATGGCGCCGCGTAGAAGGGCTCTATATAACCCCTAATGAATGCATACTTTGTTTGATGCTAACTGAAAAAGAAAACCTCATTTTTCAATCTCCCTAGCCAATGGCCAATGTCTAGCGAGGGAGCAACACACTGCCATGGGAAATGACAGGGTTGGGAATGGACCCAACCGCTTGCGCAGTATGCATGGCTGTGGCGAAGCTATCTGCGGCAAGGCCCATTGGGCCACAGCTGTACAGTCGCATATACGTTCTGGGAGGTGTAAATCTGCCTGACAGCCTCGCCTCGCTGTCTTTTCTTACTTGATGGTAGGATAACAAGGTGCCTCGCCCGTCTCTCCAGTCTCTTGTGAATGTTCGCGTCTTCATGTGTCTTTTGTTTTTAGTTGCGGTTCCACACGCCCTCAACATCGGCCTCATCATTGATGGAGGCAGCTATCGGAGTGATTGGGCTCTCATTGCAGCTCATCGATTCTGCCATCAAAGTCAAGAGAGTCGTCACAGCTTACCGGTCTGCCTCGGCAGAGATCAACCGATTGGCACTCAAGATCGAAAGAGTCGAGGTGATTTGCGGTGCGATCAAGGACAGTCTCGAGGGAGACGCATCTTCGAGACAGTGCTCTGATCTCATCAAGACCTGGGGTGTGTGTGTTCTCAGAAGCATCTCATCGACACTCGCCGAGATTCATACCATTATCACAAAGCTGGAAAGAAAAGGTGGAAAGAGACGTCCTTTGAACACGGTGGGATTCACATTCCTGGAATGCAAAGATGATATATCTCGGCTGAGCAAGTGGCTGGACGATGATCTGAATTACCTGCAGCATATGATGACTGCGGAGATACTGTGTGCCCTCCGAGTTCTACTTCTGAAACATCCGGACTGACTCTGTGATAGCTCTAGGTGCAACATCGTCCAGCAGCTGACAATTCACCACAACGAAGCATCTGAGTTATCGAACATGTGCTCTACTCTCACACAGTCAACTCTGCAACGAGATCACAACGGCGATCTGCCATCCGAGCCAAGACATACAACAATGGCGAAGACAGGGAATCAGATGACGATTAAAGCCTTCGGCTTTCGATTTCAAACTCAGACCAGGACAATACTCAAGAGGTCTAGCTCTCACGGTGTACAGGAGGTATCCAACACAAGCGAGATCAAGACCTACACTTTCGGGCACAGCAAGTTTTCCTACAGAATAGAACTACATTGGTCGATGAGCACGTTGACCCCCATAGTCTGTGCTCTCGCTGTCCGCCATGTTCTCTCTGAAGATAAAGACGAAAAGCTGGTTAGAAAGATATTGATCATCATGTGCGATGGGGACTTGCTAGCACTGCAAGACCTACTCTCTACCAGATCTATCACTCTAGGCACCATGCTTGGGGATAGGACGCTCTTTGAGGTAAGACCTGGTGTTCAGTACCCGATGGAGATCTTGAGAGGGCTGACTTCTTGTCGGTCACAGTCGGCAGCGGTTTGCGGCCAGCCGTCTCTTTGCCGCTTCCTCGCCCAACAGAATCTTGATTTGTGTCAAGATGAGAAGTAAGAACGTGCATGCACACTAATCTTTCCCAGCATGCGGGCTAACAGAATGGCCAGCATCTGTAGGCCTGATAACTGGGTTGGGGTAATTCGTCGCTATCACCTACTTGAACCTTCTGATGCCTTGGGCCGTGTTTTTGAAGTAGATGAAATTGTTCAACTCACACAACGATCTAGACCCACGAGATTTAGGCTGATGGCCAGTGGTGTTGAAGATGTTGAGTCTCTGGTTGCTGTGTACAGACGGTGCAGATTGCCTGCGTTGCATGAGATGGAGAAGAAAGGTTTTTTCGATGCTGTTTGGGACATCGCAGTTCAACTTTTGGTGCTGCAGGCTCAGAAAAACCCGTTCTGGTGCCGGGAAGATCGGCGAACAAAAGACTGGACTCGCCTTTTTGTTGAATTGATCGATGAAGGCGTGGATGTCCACAGGATCTGCAAGCACCAGACTCACTATGCGTTTCGCTCCTTCCAAAGGCATGCAACCGTACTTTCCCTCCTTCTCCGAAGCTCTCCCTGCCACTATGCAGTCGAGGCTGCTCTCTCACACTGGGTCAGGATTTTGCTGGTAGCTGGAGTTGATGTTGCCAGGTACCTCCAAAGTGAGGAACCGAATCTCCAGCAATACATCGATTGGCAACCCCCTTTCAACAGGGCCAGGGTATGGGTCACAGTAGCAGGCACAACAAAGATTGCTGGGTTTGAGATCCCTCTGTTGCACCGATATGTCGGCCCGTACAGCAAAGCAAACGAAGTCAGAAATGAGTTTAAGAACTTCGGCGAACTTCTCAAAGAAGCCATTTGGCCCGATCTCGGAGACTTAATGACCATAGAGCACACGCATTGTCAACAACACGTGCTGTGGAAATCTTGCAGACTTTCTGAATCCGATAAAAGAGAGTGGCCATTCGTTTTCAACTTTTTACGGGACTATGACTCAGACGCGCTTTTTTTCAATTTGAATGGTCGACATTCCGACGGTAGTCCTCCTGCAGGTTTCCAATACGCCAAGAAACTCATGCAGGAGAGGTTCAACAGAAGGCAGATGAAAAAGCTCTACCGATCTGGATATCTCAAAAGGGAAAAACGGCCGTTGAAGATACCAGGAGCTTGGCCAGATTCCGCATGGTAGTTTGGAATGGCGATTGCGATCTTAAAAGCTTTTCCGAGATGATTTCCACCTTTCTCTTCAGCGGTTGAATTTGGGAAAGAAAACCAACGACACTTTCACGAGTCCAACCTGCGCTGCTCATGAACTACACGCATGAGAACCGCCACAAATTTGATGTCAGCAGAAGCAAGAGAACACCCCATCAATCTGGCTGTCTCAAGAGAAACAAGAAACCGAGAGGCTTACAAGACGACCGGCGTTGATAATCGAGAGAGAGAAGGTAGAACACACTCGAAATTCACAGAATGCGTTCATTTCAACTCTCCTGTCATGGCGCCCAGGGTCCATATGTAGTAAACCGGTACTAGTCAGGTTCATGTGAATGTTCTCTTCATTACAAGATCGGTAATTGCCAGGCCAATGCTCCATCATGCACAACCGCCCTTGGCCCGGTTCATGCGGATTAGGCGCCTGTCTACGCTCAGGAAACAGTGAAAACCACCTTCTATCTGACAAAACCTCTTAACGAGGAGGATTGGGCAGCGGCCTGGGCCCGACAATCTGTCTACGACCTGCCCCGATGCCCTGAGCACCCCGATTCTGGTTGTCTCCCCCAGTGTATCCCGCCCACTGGCTCACATCCCAGCGGCCTCCAATGCCACCGCCGATACCGTCAACTCCGTTGCCACTGGGAACCGCCTTGGCCGTCTCTTTTTGGGACTCCTCCCACTCACGCTGGCGTTCACGTTCCATCTCCATCTCTCGCTCGAGCAGCGACTTTGAAGCCCAACCACCCGCCTTAGTCTTGGTCTGGCTTTGAGCACGCCGTCGGTCCTCGCCATCTTGCTCGGCAGTAGCGCCAAGCTCGCGTGAGTATGTCTGCTTGGCGACCAATGGCGCAGGAGCTGCGTTGTTGTTGAGATATCTGTCAGTTCGGCTAGGCGGGGCCCGCGCGGCCGCCTGATAAGCAGCAGGATCCGGGAGGGGCCGACCACCAGTCGTATGCGCTACAGCCTTTTGAGGAGGCGAAGCGACCGCCATCGGATCGGGGAGAGGTCTCGGCGATCTTGGTGGCGGCGCGGGGGGTTCGTCGTCTTGATGCGAGTCTTGATGTTGCGACCACGCCGTCTGGAGAACCTCACGCTCATTTCTGGACCATGAGTCTTGACGGCTAGGGGTTCCATCGGAAGGCCGGCTCCTAGACCGAACGCGTTCCTTGGGGTCTTTGGTGACGGCCAGTGTCCTGCCCGTTCGTCCCTGGCGTTCAAGTTCATACTGCCTTTCGCGTTCCCTGGCCTCTTCGAGCTCTCTCTCCAGTTCAGCAATCCGATCGGCTCCAGTCTTCTGTGCTTTGATGCCCTGCTCAGACTGATATTGGCTCAGAAACTGGCCCCGGAGTCGTGCGTCGCTCTTGCTCCTTAGACGGCTTTGCTCTTCGTTCAAGCGTGCTTGAGCTTCAGCCTCCTTCTTGCGGCGATCCTCGTCCCTCGCACGCCATTCTTTTTCCTGCCTGTCCCACTCAAGCTTCTCCGCTTTGGCATCCTCTTCCGCTTGCCTCACTTTCAGTAGTCGTTCTTCCTCTTCTTCTTGTTTTCGCATAGCCTCGCGTTCGTCCTCCAGTTTCTTACGCCTTTCCGCGTCCTCTTGCTGTTGCTGTTGGCGCTGATACTCCTCCTCGAGTTCTTTCTCCTTTCGAATGCGCTCCTTCTCGGCCAAACTAGGCACTGCAGGGCCAGCACTCGTGATCTGCCTCCGACTGCCAAATGATATTCCTAGGTTTCCTTGGCTGGCACCGCCCATATAGCCGTATTGGGCGATGTTCCAAGCGGGAGACGTGGCGCCTTCGTGTTCCTTTCTGCTCCAGCTGGTAACTGGGGAAGTAGGTTTAGTCGGGCTCCAGCGACCCGAGCCGGAGTCTCCGGTCTTGGCGCTGGTCAGAGTAGGCCGAGGCGAGCCGAAGCCTGATGCATTGGAGAATCCGCGCGACCTTGTCGGCGATGGGGTTCCGCGACCAGTTCCTTGGGGACTCATCACTCCTCCCCGGCTCCGGCTTCCGATTGCCGTCGGGAACTTGGCTGGGTTTGCTGCGTTCGCGGCTCGACTGAAAGCGCCCAGGCATTGGAGCACTTGGGCAGGGTCTTTTTGTTCAAATAAGTCGACGGTCAGGAAGACATCGTGGTCTTGAAGGTTGAGAGGAGGTTGTTTGCAGGCGCGCAGAAAGTGAGAGATGTTTTCCATCTGTACGAATGGCATGGCCGACTTCTTGAATTTGACGCCTGGTGGTGGTACCGCGAGATTGATCAACCTAAGGTATCAGGGTCAGTATTGGTAAGTATGGGATATGTTAACCCACGCACTTGCAGAGTGCAACGCCATCCTTCAGTCCCTCCAGCAAGTCGCCTGCTGGTAGTCTTTCACCCAAGACCCCTTCGATCCAACTGCTGACTTCTTTTGCAGCAGCCGGTGTGTACTTGTCGAGGCGCAATTTGCGCAAATCCTTGTCCAAGGACGATACAGAGGCCATGATGGCGTCGTTGACTGGCGATTGATCAAGATAGTCTTTCGTATCGTTGTACCAAATCGAGTCTTGCGGGTTCAGGAGCTTTGAGGTTGGTTTCGCGAGGGCGTTTCAGTAGGGTGACGGTTAGGCGCTGACGTCGGCGGGGTCCGGCGATGACGGAGTTGAAGTAACGGATGCAAGTTTCTGTCGTTCGGCGCGCGTTGCGCGGGACTTGCTTCAGATGATATGGATGTTTCCCCGATCGCGTGTCTTCAGTCTTTTTGTGGGTGAAAACAAGTGTTAGGCCAATGTTTTGCGGGGGAATCAAGGCAGTCGGGTGGCAGGTTGAAGTGATTGGAAGGCCCGATGAAGAACGGCCGTGGTGGGGATGTTTTAATTGTTTATGCATCTAGAGCCAGGCGCCGCTGGCGGGAACCTGGATAAGGTGACAGGACCCAGGGTCCGGCTGGACCGCCGCGGTCTTGCGGAGTGACGTGTGCGGTGGTGGCTGGCGGGGCCAATGCAACTCTGATGCTGCGAACGCTCAGTCGCGGGTTTCCATTGCAGAGGAAATATGTGGCTGACGATAAGATACGCCATTCCTCGGCCAAATTTCAAGTGGCGGTGCAGTCCAAGGTTGACCTCATTACTTTTCTAGGACTTGGCGACTTTCGCATCTAGAAGCCATGGGTTCCTGATCGAAGATATTTCTTTCCCAACCACCCATTCCAACAGCGCAAATGCCTTCAACACGGATATCACCAATTTTAGAGGCGTGGTACAAGTGGAAGTCGCTCAGACTGCCATGGCGCAAACGCTTCCTTGTCGGCATGTTCCCTTCCCCGTCCCCGGCCCATCGACCCCCATTGTCAACGTCCGAGGAGAACTAACACGCTCGGTTCTAGGCCGTGACCTGCAGGGCTATACTTTCTGGGAGTTTCGCGAGTCACGGGGGAATGGTCCCGGCCGCTTCCGCCGTATTGTTAACTATCCCCGATCAACCTACCTCTCCGACGTGAAGGTGTCACCATTGTGGCATCAATGGCTGCGCTACACCCGAGAAGACCCCCCGACACTTGAAGAACAAACAAGAGAGGCATTTAGACAGGAGCGGATGAAAGTTTTGTCCGCGCAGGCCGACGCGAGATGGGAGGCAAAGCCTAGGCTTACCGATGCTCCAGGCCAGCAGACTGGTCAACCTATGCCGTCTTTGAACACTGTGCGGTCACAGCCCACGGCGCCGGAGCTGGAAGCAGCCAACACGAACGCAAAGACGACAGAGCTGCCAGAGGATCAGGCTCAACCTGCGACCGATGCGAAGAAGAAATATGGCAAGGATCCTTGGGCGAAAGCCAGTGGACTAAGCGAGGGCTGGCAGCCAGAAGCTTGGGTTCCGCCATCAGGGAAGAAATAACAAATTAAGAGGCGGCATGCCAATTGTGTATTACTAGACGCCAGAAGAAATCTGCGCCCATGTACCAACAATAATTGAAACCGAACCCGGCTGTCGAGTCCATGAGATCATCCTTGTTACCGTTTGCTTGAAGAATAATGCCCTAGCAGCGTGTCTGTATTTGCTTGCCCTCCAATGCAAACGCCTGAACGCCTATTCCCTGCTATTCCATGCCCAAGTCCTGACGCCACGTTTCGTAATAAGAGCTCTACTGCGTAATCGGTGCTTTAGTCGACGTCTTCCCTCTTGGTCTCCTTCTCTATAGAGCCCCGAAGTCTCTCCTCTTGTCTCCTCCAGTGGCTTCCCTCCTCGTAGTCTTTGCTTATTCTCAAAGCGCTCCTGAGTCTCTCACTCTCTTTGATCTTGGCGTCTGCCATCTCGTGCACCTGATGGCTCTTGAAGTGCTTCCGTACGGGACCACCACCGCCGCCGCCGCCGCCTCCACGGCTGTTCTTTTGTTTCTCGAGGTCGGCCAGTAGTTTCTTTCGCATTTCGTCGCATCGCTTCTCAACTTCTTCCTCGTCGAGGCTAGAGCACCGTTAGTATCCTTGCAAGGCCAGGGACGGGGGAGGGGGGTAAGCTTACCCTTCATCTTCGAGGGTGTCGCGCAGATCAAGGACCTTAACCTCGACCTCACGCTTGCGGTCATGCTCTAAGATCTCTTTATCGGGCTGTCGCTGCTTGTGACGGAGCAAGTCGGCGTCTTTGGGAGGATAGGGCGCGCCATAGTCGCGTGGGCGCATGTGCGCAAGGTTGCGCTGAACATAGCCTGAAGTACCGCTGCCACGAGGCGTTGAGAGACCGACGTTGTCGGACATGGTTATCGAGATTATGTGGTATATATCAACTCTAATCGGAGGAAGTAAGGAATGCGCTGTTGATGTTGATCTCTCGAGTCGGTGTTGGCGGGAAAATCAAGATGTATCTCGGTACTTTGGATCTGCAAGAGACGTCACCGATAGACCCTTGGCAATGGTACCACGGACGAAGTTTAGTTGGGCTTCGAAAGGCGGTGAAAGTGTATAGAGAGATGGGGGCCGGCAGAAAAGTTATGACGGGTGGGATGGT